CAAAAAAATTGCCAATTTCGAATCTTCTTTCGACTCCTATACTATACTCATCCAAGTATCAATATTTAACTGTCCCGTCGCAAGTTCCTTATTGGCGACCTTTACAAAATAACTAAATGCCAATCTTGATTATTGATCGTTCTATATCCATTTGATAACATATTCCAACATAATATAGCGCCAAGATATGATCCTTTTCTGAAGCATCATTGAATAATTCGAACGCCTTCACCTTATCTTCACTCGTTTCAATTCCAAAATAATTAAAAGATTCCAGTAAAAAATCATAGTTGAATTGTTTGATTTTTTTAATAACCAAGTATAGATTTCTTTCAGAGCAATATTGTATATGCTAAATAATCAATAAGATGTTACCTCCTGATTTTTGGTTCCTTTCCATCATTTGTCATCTAAAATAAGAGTTACCATTATCAACTATCATGTTTAGCTCGTTCTCTGGCTTGTATTGAATATCTATGACAAAATCATGACTTTGCAATGATTTCTTTCATCCTTGCAACTATTTGATTCATCGTTGGTCGATTTTTCGATTTGCCATTCTAACAATCTAAAAAAGCAACGTAATCGATTCATTAAATAATTTATAGTATTTATAGTGCTATTTTGTTTAAATAAATTTCAGTTAATCATAAAAAATCTTTTCATCGAGTCATTTTAAAATATGTGCGATATATTTACCAGTTCTCGGTTGACGATGACTTCCTCGTGTAAATAATAGATAGCACCAGCTAATTTATATGTATTATTGTTCCAAGCTTCTTGAAATTTTCTTCAGGTAATTACAAAGGTTACCGCCATCAGCATATTCCATCATTAGAAAATATTTCTTTTTATCTAAAGATAAATGTGTACATTTCATTAAAACGCGTTTTACGTATTTTACAACTCGAATAAATAGATAACCTTTTAATGATTTGTAACTTGTTTAAAAGTGAAGATCCCGTAGAAGCGAAACGAAGTAGTTTTTTTATTATATTTCTTTTTTTTTTTTTTTTTTTTAAGTTGGTTCTAGTGATCGGTCGCCAGTTTTTTTTATTATATTTCATGTTCCTAATGTGGTGTAACTAATAAAATAGTGTAACAACCTCTGACTATATTTTAATAACCAATAACATTAATCAATGAACTCAAAATCAGGGGTTTTGGCTATTTCCGTATATTTATTGGATGTCTTTCCCTTTTCACATTTTTCATCACTTAACGTTAATCTTCTCACCATTATTACAATTAATTTAAAAAAGAAAAGTTTTACTTTGATATTATATTTAGATAAATTTATTTAAGAAAGCAATAAACTCACGAACCCTATATCGTTTATCTTATAGTATTAGTATTTAACTAAGAAACTACGTGGGAATTATATTTCTCCGCTTGGCCTGCTTTTCTTATATCTTTTCACGTATTTACTAGAAAAAATTCGAGATGAGATACCAGGAAATTTCTGTCTCGTATACATTTCAAACGAACAAGTCAGGCGCTTTTGTCGTAGTGGACGGAAATGGGACTGACTCCTTCGCGGTAGATCTTTGGCAAAAGTGGATGTACGAATTCATCGATCAAGGGCCTTCGGAGGATTCACGAAGACGACGCAACGGGACAATTCCAAGTCCCAAAAACGCGTTCATGATATATCGGAAAGATTTAAGCGCGAAACTAAGACGCACGCACCTGGGATAACGGTTGGACTTGCCGGCAACATCAATCTTAAAGCGTTTTACAATTCTTGAGGTGGATGTAATCCACTATTCCCCCCGATCATAAATGTGAAGGATTACTTAAACATTCCAGCATCACTATCTATGCGCGTAGAAATATTGCTTCAGTCATATGATCCAATAATAGATTAATTAATAATAAAACGAAATTATTAACATAAAAATTTTACCTGTACTTTCAATCATGTATCAAACTGCCAACAATACTTCGTACTACTTACAAAGCTTCTTTACAAGTCTACTTCGACGTTTCACTGAAGAATTATTAAATCAGGTAGAAACTGAGAGGAGGGAAAGATGAATATCTACCAAAATAAATCGCTAGACGATATTTAACCCTAAAGAATATAAGCTGAAGTTGTATAGTCGTAAACTAGTGATTATCTGCTGGACGATAGGTTCATTTATAAGCAATCTCAATATTATCGACGAACCTAAATGATTATAAAAAGGTGTTAGTAAAGTTACAAAAGATGGTTTGCTGATCACTAATTATCCTTCGACCGTCAATGGACACCAAAATGTAGAGAACAGGCTTTATTATAGTCTGGAAAGGTAAGAAGTTCGTAAATTTTTCAACGTTTTAAACATAATATATTTTATTGTATTACTTAAATAAAAAATTTTCTTTGTTTTGATTGGCCCTAGTCTTATAATAAAAAAATTTTTTTTTGTAGGTTCACATTTCAAAAATTAAAAAAATTTTTAACAAAGCTTTTTCGGTTTTTGAAATTTATCGGAGAATTTATTTATTCAAATAATGATCATATTTATTATTCAATTCTTAAAATACAAAAATAACTAATTTCCGAGTTTAAATATTATTTTAATCCTCCCGCTTTTACATTTTTTTACCTTAAAAATTCGAGACACAACACACTCAAATAACAAGTTTACCAACATTACCAGACTCTTTAATACAACTGTATTGCTTTGAAACGCAAATAACAAGCTTACCAACATTACCAGACTCAACGGATCTCCGTTGCTATCATTATGACACCCACGATAGTTTTTTTTATTTTAGCAAATTTTACCCGTTCTATGGTAAAAAGCGTTTGGCGCTTTAGGGTTTGGGACATTTGACAGAATTATCAGTGATTAATTCTTGTAATTTTCAATTTTTTTTTTAGCAATGGAAGACTTAAAAAAAAAAGGTCTACAAGTTATTTTTTTGTACCTTTATGCACTTTATTGTTTCTTGCAGGTTAAATAATAATTAATTGGATAATTGAAAAGCTTTATTTATTAATACATTGATTTTAATAAATCATTTTTATTTTTTATAAAAAAAAAAAATTTTTTTTCTATTTAATTCAAAAAGTGTTTATTATAGACATTGAAAAAGAAATCTGATATCTATTAAAAGAGGAATTAAAAAGAAAAAAAAAGTCGAAGAAATTTAGGTAAGCATTACAGATTATTTATTATAATATAAATATCAATTATATCTAAATATTTCTTTAAATTTTAATAGATGAAAAAAAATATAAGTGAGAAAACTCAAAAGATAATATTTTGATAAAAGTATGATAAATAGTTTCGGCTTTTGTCATATTGGAAGGGTTTTGTTATATCCTTTGTTATGATTTTTAAGATATTTTTATCTGAGTTTTGACTATTATTAGAAGGCGTTGTCCCTTATCTATATATTATACAGTCTGATGCAAAAGTCTTTGGACAAATATTTTTTGATATAACTTCATAACAACTGCGCCAAATTGCATGGTAAAATATTTATTTGAAAGCCAAAAATCAGGAGATTTTATTAAAAAAAAAAAATTAATAGAGAGTGCATTCCCCATTTTTCTCAATTATAAGCTTACATTTCTCCTTCATTGAAATAACTAGACTTTTAATAATGTCTTGTGAAACTTTGACCATTCCTCCTCCATAAAATTTTCCAAATCCCCAATATTTTGTAGTTGCCGCATCTTCACGTTCCTTTTAACAATTGCCCATAAATTTTCTAAAGGTTCAAGTCAGGACTGTTAGATGGTCAGTCTATAACAGCTGGAACTTTTCTTTGCAGAAAATCCTTAGCTACATTGCTCGTATGCTTAGGATCGTTATCTTGCTAGAGGTGCCAATTGTTACATAGCTTCTACTTGATCTCAGGAAGATGCTTCTTTATTGTCTAAATGCTATATTTTAAATGTTTAAAATTTAACCCGATTTGGATTTAAATTGGCTGATCTATGTGACTTTAATTTTATCACTGATTGTCCAAAGACTTTTGCATCAGACTGTATATGTATGTTTAAAAGTTATCAAATTATTCATTATATAATTCATTATATTCTTTTTAGTATACTATATTTTGATTCTGAATTTTTTAATTATTAGGTTAATATATTAGTTAATATAATTAATTTCCTTTTATATAATTATATTATCATAATAAATCAGTCAATTATTATAATTAAATTATTTTATTTTAAAATAAATTTTATTAAAAAATTTAAATTTTTTACAAAATTAAAGATTATTAATAGTTTTACTTATAGTAATTTAGTTTAAGCTAATCCTATTTTATATTAAAAAAAATAAAAAAATATTAAAAATTTAAAAATATTAAAGAAATGAAAAAATAAATGAAAAAAAATTTAAAAAATGAAAAAATATTAATATAATTATATTAAGTTGGTTAAAGATTTATTATATAATTACAAAATCGTATTTTTTGTATAAACATATTCATATTTTCAGTTGATTCTAAAGGATGTGATTATAAAGAGATTGGTTATATTATTAATAAAAAATTAAGTATTTAAAATATTTTTAATAGAAAAAATATATTAAAAAAAATTTGATAATAATGAAGAAATATTTTTGTAATTTAATATAATAGATATCAAATTATAAAAGTAGAAAACTCATTATCATTTATATATTATTAATAAGAAAATTGAATTAAAAAATATTTTTAATAGAAAAAATATATTAAGAAAATTTTGTTAATGATAAAAGAAATATTATATTTATAGTTTTAATCTAATAAATATCAAATTTTTAAATAAAAAAACTGAGATTTATTTTTAATAAATATAATTTTAATTCTTTAATCAAAATTCAATTAATTCCATTTTTTTATATTAAAATAAATAGTTTTTAAATCTACTAAATAATTTTACTTAAATTACTAAATATAATTGATTTTACAAATTATATTTTAAAGTTATTAAATAAAAAAAAAAAAATTTGTAAGTCAAATTTATTATATAAAGTATTATTTACTTTACAAATATTTAATTTAATATTAATAAAATTTAATTTAAATAATTTTAATTCTTTTGCATAATTTTACTTAGATTATAAAAAATAATTTATTTTAATTTAAAAATTTAAAAAAATTATATTAAATAAAAAAATTTATAATTTAATATTAGTATAAAAAATATTTTTTACTTTATAAATAATAATTAAATATTAATAAAAATTTATATAAATATTTTATAATAAAAA